AGACAAACGGTTAGCATGCGTCAAGTCTCTCGTCAGCCGGCCAGCACGGCGGATGAACGAACCTTGTCAATGTTATCACCATCTTGGAAAATCTATCCGCAGTGTTTGCGTCTAGCCCGGGTGCCAGAGCCAGATGGTAGTAAAGTTGTGTCAGCTGGGCGCGTAGCGACCGGGTCATCTCGAACTTGAGGTTGAGCCATCCCTGAAGTTCCCTCGTCCAGTGTAGAGCGCCCGGCGCAAAGTCCTCCGCGTTGACCGAAATGTAAAGGTTCTTCAGAATGCCGCGGAGAGCGGTGTCCCGGTGCGCTTCATCTTCCACCTCAAACGGAAGCAACCTGAAATAGCTGAACGTCCGAGGCCTGTATCGTTTCTTGTCGTCCTCGTGAAAGTCCTCCGAGTATGGCAGTCCGGGGGACGTCGCTCGCGAGAGAGTGTCGACCGAGGCGAAGACGCCGGACAGAAACGACGGCGGCGCCCCGCCCGCAGAGGCAGCAAACGCCGCGGCATTAGTGGGCGGAGGTTCTATCGACTCGTCCATCTTCAACGTCCGTCTAATCACCGAGACCCGCTAGGGCTCTTGGGCCGCGCCGACGATGTGGGTGGTGCTCGACAGAGGGTGGTCGAGATGAAGCGATAGCGGGGTCGGGGTCGGGCCCTCACAAGAGGGTTTCGTGCAGGCTCAGGACTCTGGTCACGAGAGGGGCTGTGAAGCCACGTCGTGGGTGGAGGTGGCTTGGCCGTTGGGAGGTCTCTAGCATCTCGACCCGGGTGGGCCGGTGCTTGGAAGAGATCGGGGGGCGCGGTGTCGGCTGAATCCGGAGTGAGGCCGCGACGACGCTGTCTGCCTGTGTCTCGGGGGTACGGCGGTGGTGGGGTCTGTATGACAAGCGACAAAGCTTCCTATCTACAAATTGGCGTCAGCCGGTGCCAACGGCGCCTAAAACATCGACCCGGAGGAGAATTGGGCATGCGCAGTTGGGAGAGGGCGCACTCGAAGCGCTTCCCAGCACGCGCAGCTCTGGTCAAGGGGCGAAAGCGAGAGGCGTCAAACTCTTCGCGGACAAAAGCAATGGCGCCTTGACCGGATCCCATGGGGTGCGTACCTTGAGTGTTGCAGTACACAATTGCAGGCCAAGTGCATCCGCAAAGCCAGGCCCTCGACAAAAACTCCAGATAAGGCTGCTTCGAGGCGTCGAAGTATCGTCTGTTCAGAGCTGCTCAATGCTGCTCCAAGGGTCTTCGCGATGGGAGCTTGGGGCAAGCTACCCGCAAAGGTCGGGCGATGCTGCACGCTTACCTCATCAATTCCCGTCGCCTTGCATCGGCGCGCGCGGCACACAGACCACCCAACCCGGGCGTCCTGGTCGCTGCACCTCAATCTGCGGGTGACAAACAAACAGCACTTCACGAGGCTGCCGAACAATCTTGTTTGTCGTCCGTGTTTGCGTGTCATGGCCATTTTGTCCTTTCCCTTCATTGTGCGTATGGATTTCATCGCGACACGGCTTTCAGACAGCGAAGGGATCACCCGGTCACTCCCACCCCGCTCAGGGACGGAGAACTGGGCCGACAAGGCACCCAACCAGGGACGCAAGCTCGGGAAGCTCTGCCACCCAGGCCGCCTCAGCCTGATGATGCCTGCCCGGATGCAAACGCGGGATGCACCGCTGCTGTGATGCGGCTCTGCTACAGACACATCATTCAATTTGGTCTCTCTTCCGGGCCGGCCGGCAGTCAACCACGTCGCGACGGCTCGAATTGCGGTGCGCCCGGCCGCCCGCTGTGGAGAGCGGCAATCCAGATAACCTTCATGACGCACACCCCCACCTGCGATTGGCTGCGTATCGCCAATTCCCTAGCATCAAAGCTCCAACGGAAGACAACAGGACGTGCAGAACAAGCGCGGGCTTCGATTTGAGCGGAAACTAGCTGCATCCTCATTCTTCCGCCTCCTCCTGCTTCTTTCTCTCACTTTTCGCCTGGGGCGCTCCCGCCTTCGGCTCATTCTTGGAGCCTGGCTCGTTCTCATAACCTCCACCATGCTTCTCGTACTCCTTTGCAAGCTTCATGCCCTTCCAGGCCGACCACTGGCCTTTTCCATCCCCTGATTTGTTCGGCTCTTGCTGGATTTCTACCAAAACAGTCAATTTCTGCTTCTTTTTAAACGATGTCTCAGATCCTAGTCACCTTGCTTGAGCTCCTCACGAAGCTCAGGGTCCGTCGGTTTCCCTTTGCTGCTAGGCATGTTGTCGATGTTCTGAGTGTTGAGAAGATGAGAGTGTGTGGACAACGCTCAGTAAGGTTGTGAAACGGCGGTGTTCATATATCGTCTGAATGTCCTCGATCCTCGTCCCAGGCCTGTAACATGAGCGATCGGAATGGATCAAAGTGCTGATCGCAGCGCCGCAAGTGGTCAAGTCGATCTCCCAGCGTCTCGTCGATGCGATGCAAGTCTCTTTCAACATCAATCCAACCATTGACCAAAACATGACATCATCATGATTTACCCTCAATCGCCCGTGATGAAACCAAACCCGCGAATCCTGAAAGAGCCGCATTCGAGCGAAAGAGGCATCAGGGATATCTTCCCATTTCCCTGGCTCCAAAACAATAAGGTGTTTCGTGACGCAAAAAGCCAAAAACCGCTCTGGTCGACGACAACAACCCATTTCCTCCATCGCGCCCTGGTAAACAATCTTCTTTGTTCCCATTTTCCCCCCATCCCATTCCCATCTCGTTATCCCCTTCATCACAGCCCAATCCCAGTACCAACAACAACAAACATCACCCCTAACAATCCCCAACTCACCCCCCTCCTCCCTACCCCATTATCAACCCTCCCCTGAACCTCCTCCCCAAACCTCCCCATCACATTCCCCCTCGGCCAATACGCACAAACCAAAAACCACCTCGTCTCCTCGCCACACCACTGCCTGCCACATCCCACCTCCCGCGTCCCCTTCCACACCAGCTGCGTGAAATGCCCCGTCTCCTTGTCAAACCCCGCCCTCCTGAAATTATACCTGTCCCGCTCGTCGCCCCATAGCTCGACGCAGCCTTGGACGTCGGAGCATCCGATGGCGAGGTTCTCGCCGTAGGGGGAGGATGCGGAGTGGGTCAGCGTGCAGGAGGTGGACGCGGCGTGGGAGGAAGCGAAGGCGGCGAGGGTGGTGTTGTAGGTTAGGGATGTGGCGTTGTGGGCGGTGCGGTAGTAGTTTGTGGTGTTGAGGATGGTGGAGGTGAAGAGGGATTGGGAACGGAAAGAGGGGGCGAGGGAGGCGGAGGGCGGGAGGAGTGTGATTGTTTTTACTGCAGAGGGGGAGGGGTGGGTGTCGTGGGTTGGGTTTGGGGATGGGGAGGCGGTGGTTAAGGGGAGGAGGACGAGGGTTGCAAGGGTTTGTTTGGGGAGCATTGGTGTTTTGAGTGTTGGGGATGAGGTAAGGTAGGGTGCAGATTTTCACGGGTACGGTAAATGCATGAAATATGTAGTGAAAGGTGTCGATTGAAGCTATATACGTTGATGTCGTCGCCGCCAATTTTGGACGCGCTCGCTCAAAACCAGGTTTGAAGTGGTTGTTGAGGTCGTCAAATGGTTGGCTGTCGAGCGTGTCAAGCGAGCCGCCGGGAAAACGGACCAGGAAAATGACGTCGCAGCGGATGTTCCAACCACACTCTCGGGAAGGATGGAGTGGATGGGTATTTCGAGACAACTGTTGAGTCACATGACACCCCAAATCTCCCGCATGCAATGCTGTGGAGGTGACTCACAAACTAGAGTCACGAACTAGCTCGCGAGAATACTACCTTCTTAATAGGTACCTACGTTTGGATATAAGGGACGTTGCTATCTCGACTCAGTCGCTCCCCCTCACATCAATTTCCTCCGTTTTCACTCAGTTGCAATTTCTTCGAAGACGAAGACCAAACAATGGCTGCCCCCGCCCCCGTTCCCAACTCCGCCAACCCGCGCAAGATCGAGTTTTACGATCTCGATGCGTCCGCCCTGACCGAGCCCGGCCGCAAGTTGCTGCGCGAGTACAGCGGCATTCCCGATGCCGAAATCAACAGCCATGTTGAGGCAATGGTATGTCCCATCCTTCAATCCCGACCACAAAACGCACCTGCTAACATCTCTAACAGAGAATCAAAGCCTTCCAAGTTTGTCCCTACCCGTGCATTGGAATGTTTCAATTCCTAGACCTGAGCCTGATGAGCACCCCCGTCTATGAAGAAGTCCTAGCCCGCATCAAGAACGGCGACAAGTTCCTTGACCTCGGTTGCTGCCTCGGCCAAGAAATCCGCCAGCTCGTGGCCGACGGCGCGCCTTCCGCCAACACGTACGGCTCCGATCTCCACGGCGGTCTCATCGAAGTCGGCTACGACCTCTTCAAGGACAAGGATCGATTGCAGGCGACCTTCATCCCGGCGGACGTTTTCGACGACGCGTCGCCGCTGGTTGCGCTTGCGGGTCAGATGGATATCATCTACACCGGCGCCTTCTTCCATCTGTTCGGCATCGAAGAGCAGGAGAAGATTGCCGAGCGCGTTGTGCAGCTCTTGGCTCCGAAGCCAGGCTCCATGATCATCGGACGTCAATCCGGCCACGAGGAGTCGGGAGAGTTCTCCCGGGCTGGCGACAAGAGCGGACGGAAGCACTTTCGGCACAACCCCCAGAGCTGGAAGGAACTGTGGGATCGGGTGGGGGAGCGGACGGGAAGCAAGTGGTCAGTCGAAGCGGATCTAAAGATGCGCGAGTACACGCTCGCTGAGCTGGAGGGAAAGTCGGAGGCCATTCGCAAGAAGATGGAGGGCTTGGGCCTGAGGTTTGTCGTCAGACGCCTCTGAAGTATCAGTATCGGTTCCCTCTTGGGATTCTTTCTCTTCTCCTTGGATCGAGTTTGGTCTGACATTGGATTAGGATAGCCTGTCCACGCCGCAGCTGAGCTCCACCTGCGAAGCTCCCTCAAAAAGAATGGGTTCCCCACCACACATATGCAAAAAGGTCGTACCCGGAATCGAACCGGGGTTACCGGAATGACCAGATGAACAGATCAGAATCCGATGTGATAACCGCTACACTATACAACCTTGAGATTTAAGCGCTGGTAACAGTCCATTTCACGGGGTCCGCGAATGCGGCTTGTCGGGGGCTCTGGCTCGGCAACACCACAGCCCGGTCAAGACCAAGGGGACAATGCGATTCCAGCAACGTCCCTTGCACAAAAGAGCTTTGTAGCTTTGCTTGCATGCACTGCAACCACTCTTCATATTCTTCTAGCATTAACAATGCATCTGGGTCCAAGCACGGTTATCGTGCCCTGATACAACATCTTCAAGTTCCCGTAACCCTCCCGCTGGAACCAGCTCCCGGCTAAGTCCAACTGTAACAGTATCTCCTGAAATGGATGTTCCGGCAGGGCTTCCTTTTCCCAAGAGGCGTATGGCCATCGGGCAAATCACGATCACAAGTCGCTGCAGTGGAACGCTGTGGAACCTCTGTCGCCACCAAATCCATCAAGCCCCTCTACCAAGCGGCTATCATCAATCACAGCCCGCTTGGCTCAGTGGTAGAGTGTGTCACTCGTATAGCGAGCGATGATAAGGTCGTCAGTTCGATTCTGGCAGTGGGCAAGCCTTCGGATCAGGATCAACTCCTGGCCCCGAGATTTACTTTTTGGCGTTTTGTCCAAACTATGGAGACGTGATCACAACTGCGCCGATTGGAGCCCATCTGCAGCGGGACAGAAAGACAAATTTATTAGGTGTTCAACACGGCGCGGAAAAAGAAATACAAGTCCTTGTGTATCCCATCCCTTCAAGCCCTCCATCCTTCCCCCCTTATCAATTCCCACAACATCCCCTTACCCCTTGCTCGGCATCCTTACTTCTTGGTATAGCAATAACACTCGCACGTCTCCCAGCCCCAGATACATCCCGACCCGTCGACAAAGCTTCCCGTGGTTCCGGCACAGCAGTTCTCCTTGCCGGCCTGGTTCTTGCATCGTTGCGCGCAGCCGCCGCCCCAGTTCTTCTCGCAGCCTCCGCCCTGCCAGGGGTGGCGGTTGTCGGAGCACTTGGCGAGCGCGTTGACCGTCTCGCTTGGAATGGCGGTGGTGAGGGCCGTTAGGGCGAGGGTGAGGAGGAGGGGGAGATGCATTTTGGCGATTGTTTGGTGGTCGTGGGTGTTTGGTGGGTGATGATGGTGTGTTGAGATGGAATCTTCTGCTTGGCGTTGATGGTTTGTTGTTGTGAATGAGGCGGGAGGTTTGCTTCTCGTGGGCCAGGAGACAGGTATTTATATTTGCGGAATGGCTTCATGTTCTTGTCCCCTGACTCTCGCTCACGTATCCTGGGATCCTCCAAGCCCCTGAGCCTCTGAAGCCCTAATTCTTCATCTCCGAAAGCTCTCATCAATCCGGGCGCGAGAAGCTCGAGGAGAACATTCACATGTCGATCGCCTCAATTGCCAGCAACCCAATGATGGTCGAGCGGATGATTTCTCTCCAAGGGGCTCAGGGCTAAAACTATCACGCCCCTTTCTTCTCCTATTCCAACTTGCTCCAAGTACGACACTCTCTCCAAACCTTTGACACACAGAAACATGGTTAGCGAAGATGAAGTGTCCCAGAAAAGAAGGTCGATGGATGGTGTGCGGGCATATGACACATCCTCAAGTTGCCAGAGTTGACGTAGGACAGCGCTCAAATTCTCTACATTGGTCCGTCTGCCGAATTGGAGGTGGCCTGTGTCGCTCTTGAGTTGTCCATCCACGTCTGCTCTTCAACTCGCTGCGGCTGTGGTGCTTCGGAGATGCTGCGCTCAGCCGCGCCACGGACCAAAACGTCCGCGCAAATAGAAGAAAAAGGGCAACCACCTTCCCAATCGGTGCATTCGCACATCGACCTTAGCGTTTAATGTGGTGAAAAATAGTCGACAGTGTACCTGGGCTAGGGGCTGAGGGGATGAATGTGGTGAATCCCGCTCCATCTGAAAGCAGTCTTCCGTTCCCTCAACATTTGCCCGCCCCTTGATCGCCTTCGCCGACTCATTTCGGTGGAACACGGTGAGCAAAAGAGAATTATGTCATAGTCAGACTCCAGTGGAACTAATAAGTCAGTACTTGACTCGGATCAAAGTCGCATGAATCTCCTCCAACTTCAGGGGCTCCCAACCAGGACCATTATCAACCACCTTCGCCGGCAACGTCACCTTCCCGATGACCTCAACACCAACCTTCAAATACAACGGCAATCCCGTATCAGTGCAGTCCGCAAAAATTTGCACGTCCTCCGTCCAGGCCGTGTGCCCAACCCAGTTCATCAGCTTGTCGGCATAGCCGCGCCTCTGGTAGTCGGGGTGCACCGCCAGACCACGGCATTCGATCCAGGGGGTGTCGGGACCGTCCAGGTACTTCATGTACTCCTGGTGCGCTTGCTCGTAGTAGACGCGGTAGGTCTCGGTGTCAACGGCCTTGTTCGGCCATAGCGTCTCGTACACGAATTCTTGGAGTTGAACAAGCGCTCGACGTATCCCTGCAGGCGTCAGCGAGAGCCTCTTCCTCATCCCGCTACCAGAGGTACCTACTCAGCATCAGCGTATCTGGATTCCAGTTGGCCAGGTCTTCAGGTTTTGTTCCGTGTTTGACAAAAACGCTGTAGGCCACGACTTTCTTCCCCAGCGCGCTCACCAAGACAGCGTTCTTGTCTTCAGCTTCGCTCTGAGGGCCATCTTCCTCGACCTCAACCACCATGATCACGTTTCCAGGCGTCACAAGACGCAAAACTAGCTCGCTGAGTATCGCCCGGCGGTAGTCTTCCACGTAGCGGTCCTTGCGGGGGAACCAGTGGCCATCGATAGGCTCTTGGTTGAAAGCGCGATATCCAATCTCCGCGAGAATCGGCGCATCCGCTGACGTTGCCTGCCGCAGATGCACCTTCGGCTTTGCCTTGGTCTCCGGCATCGTTCAATCTTGGCGTTGTGTGCAAGCCGGCGATATCGGTGAAGTAGTTCAACCTGTCGTTATAAAGAACAACCGGCCCAGAAGATGTGGGTGGCCAGTGAGCTTGATGGATATATCAGTAATTCTGCCTCTAGTAGCCTGTTGAAAGTTGTGATGTGGCTGCTGACCAAGCTGACATAAAACTAATAATTACCCCTTTTCGGAAGCCAAGCGGTTACATCAGCGCGGGATGGGTCGCACGGGTGCATCCCATATCATTTTGCCCAGGAGCTCGACCAATGTGGTGTGTGCGATGCTGAGGGGACCTGGCCTGCTCCGATAAGGACGAAGCTAAGAATGCAGTGACTGTAGGCTGAGGGCATACGAAGCCTCTGCGTTTCAGCCACTGGATCGGAACGAATGAGAGGGGACCTGTGCAGCGCCGTGCAACACAGTGATATATCCACGCTACCTAGATATCTCAGGTTGGTAGCTCAAGTTAGGTACATGCAACCGTGACCTAGCTGCATAATCGAGGAACACTCAGCGATAGATAACCCTCGAGCATGATGATCAAATTCCAAGTCTCAGCGGACCATCCCGTTACTTGAGGTAAGTACCGACTTGCAAGTTTCCATTCCCATAGGCAAACTCATGCCCGTTAGTCGCCCGAAGAACGCTGATCCTGCAGTCCCATTCCACGAGCCGGACGGCGTGAGCCACATGCCGACAATAGCTCTGGGTATAAAAGTTGCCGACGGGGTTGATGCCTTCCACGGTTGCGCGGTTGTAGGGATCGCCGCCGATAGTGATGGAGCAGAAGACGGACGAGTAGTACTGCGACGGGTGCGAAGGGAAAAGCTCGCACGGCGTGTTTCCGAGTGCGTCGAGGTAGTTCGCGCAGGCCAGCGCTGCGGAACGGTAAAAGGATCCCGCTGGAGGGGCCCAGCAGGTTGCTGCACGTCGCGTGAGCCGAGACGCCGGCGAAGGCTCGGGCCCAACTGGTTCGTTTCTTTCAATCTCGAGAAGAGCCTTCTCCACAAGTTCGACAGCGGTGAGATTCAGGCTCTCAAGTGAGGGGAGCCCAGGGCCGGGCGTGAACTGGATATCGTCGGCCGTGATTCGGGGACGCAGTGATGCAGGAGACGCGCCGTTTGGGTTGGCAAGGGGCGAGCCCAAGACGGCTGAATTGGTACCAATCGTCAACCCTACGGCCCAAAAGGCTACGCGTTGGAAGAACATTCTGGGGAGAGGATGGTTTGAAGACGTTGAAGAAAGTTAGAATGGGGCAAATGTGATGTTCAGCGTCAGAAGACCGGTTGTCGACACTCGATGGCGATCAAGGACTTGCCAGTGGGAAGGCACACGTTGCCATCTTTATACTTGGACCACGGACCCTGAGCGCCTGTGTTGTATACCACCCCCTGCGTGGAAGCTCGACGATGAGGCCTTCTCACAAGACCGGGCCACAGCAATCAAAGTGTTGGATACCGTGACGGCTGACTCACAGTTACCAATTCACGTCGCAAACAGACAATGATGCGTCCTCGAGCCTCGCCATCACCTGGTGCCAATCCTTCAGGAGCTCAACTATTGAATGTTACTGCCATGGACAGCCCTGTGCCACAAATGGTGGAGGTCCTACCATCTGTACCCGACCCCGATGTTCACATGAATCCGAATGTGGCCTCGTCCCAAGGCCCAAGACGCGAAGGACGTATTTCTGTCGTGGTTGGTGACAAGATCACCCCATTTGGGGGCAGGGGACAGCTTAGTTCCGGGATACCTCGGCTCGAAATCACGAAAGGACGGCGCGCATCCCCTGCCAAGACGAAGACAAGGCCCCTTTCTCTGTGTACAAGACAATGATCCCTCTCCTAGCCCAGCGGCCAAGACGACCAGTGTCACCAACGGGCGGCTACTACGCGTCAGCACAATCCTCATTTGTTACCGCGCCGTCGGGACGACGAAAGAGGCAGTGACTCTTAGTAGGACGGCGCGGAATGTGTCCGCACCTACATTCTAGGATGGGAATGGCGCCGCGATCGAAAATGGATTAGTGCTAAAACACGACTGCGAGCCATGGATCTCGTATTCTACCACCAACACTACTAGTAAGACAGAAGTTGGGGAACTGCCATTGACGCCG